GTCGAATCCAAGTTGTGTGCATAAGCTGTCTTGTTAAAAACATTTGCCGGAAAATTCAATGGGACAAAACAAGTTATAATGGAAAAAAAAAAAGTGTAGCGCACCATTGCTCCCACTTAAATGAGCAGTGTAAACTTCTCGGGTGAGCTATCAATCTTGCTCCATATCGATTTTTCTCATTTAATGTCGTATACCAATTTATGTCGGCAAGGGTGTATGGATGAAATTTTGTGATATATGCTTGTTATGATTGCCTTTTATTTATCAGCCTCTCTTGCTATATAATCAGCATCATTTTGGTAGATCAACAAGATGTACCTGCAACATTACAAAACATTATCCAATGTTATAATCATCGTAAACAATCTATTGATCAATTGAGAATGTTAAAAATTAAAATATTATTGATGATAATCTCATTTATATCCTGTATTTCTTTGAAATAACTTATGTAATTCTCGGTACTTCCGGGATCTGATATCACATTTCCGATATCAGGCTCAACAGATTCATTTGAAGCATTCTCACTAGGAACCACTTGGTTCGAGGGTTCATTGATTTTCCTTTTTTTTTTCTAGAACAACATCTTTTGATCCTATTGATTTAAAAAAAATAAAAAAAATAAATAAATAAAAATAAAAAAAAAATAGAAAAATATATAAATTAAACAAACAGGTTTATAAAAAAACAAAAAGAAAAATTAATAATAATAAGAATAATAATATATAAATCAGCGAAATCGATAAATGCAGGACCAGAAATGTTGAATGCAGTTTGGTCGAAAATTACATATAAGTGTAGTATAGTATTTTTGCTTCTCCAGGGGTATGTCAAATGATGATTTGGGCTTGGGTACATCCTAGTTTATTTATATATATATATATATATATATATATATATATATATATATATATATATATATATATATATATATATATATATATATATATATATATATATATATATATATATATATATATATATATATATATATATATATATATATATATATATATATAATTTTATTTTATTTTTCTGTTTTTACCATAATACCCTTAATTATAGTATTATTGTTTTTACTTTTTCCCGTCAAAAGGGTTAACGGGATTATTAGAAAAGGGCTAATTTGATATACTTTTGATACATAAAGAACTATTACGATATATTGTAGAAAATAGGGATGAAAGTGGGACAAAATATATAGTTGAGAGATTAACAATGAGATTTGACCTTTGATTTATATCTTTCAAACCAAGATCGTTTCAAATTACACATTTTTGAGTTGTTGGTGTAAAACACCTAATGGAGTTTGAAATTATATAATAGAATGATAAAAATATTATTTAGATATTTGAACAAAAAATAAATTCAGAGTTTTAACTTTTAAAAAGAAATTTTGGTAAAACATGTAGTAATTGGCTAATTGTTTTACTTAGAACAACCGAAAAAAATAAAAGGAATATAAATAATTATGAAAATAAATAAATAAATAGTTAAAAAAAAAGCCATAAATTGCGTGTAATGAGTCAGAAAATCCAAGTCTCTCTCTAAGAGACGTGATTCTCACAACCTTGTCCAAATAAGTACAAAAGTATATAAAATATCTAGAGACCTCTTTTGATTTGGATGAAAAGGAGTGATATGATTATTAATCAAGCGTCAATCAGATGTAAGGTTTGCATGAATAAACCTCTGGATGGATAATGGGCCCTAGGCACAAATCCACCATTCAATTGATTATCAATCTGCCCTCTCTCACATGATTGTTTAATCCTACTTTTTGGTCAGAAAAGTGTATAAAGGAAATGTCAAATTTATCCTCAATCCATCATGGTATTTACCAAAAGCCTTCGCAGAAATACTAAAATTCTGAATCAAAATCATTTCTTCTCAAGTTTGAACTCTGGCTCATTTTTACTGGAAAAAAAATCGAAATAAAAGAAGATTTATGGAGAAGTGTGATTGTAAAGCACGTATCAAAGAAAGGACACCGTTTCAGATTACGAATCAACGAATATCAATTAAGTGTGAACCCAAAGTACGGATCAAAGAAAATTATCGAGGTAAAGACAAACTCAATCTCAATTGCTAAAAGTTTTTTATTCATGTTTTTTGTTTCTGAAAACATATAATATGTTTGGTGGTTCTGTGGTAATTTGTGTGTGCACAATATAGTTACTTTATTTATGCTGATAACTTAATATTTGTCTGTGTTAACGTGATGGCATATTTTTTTTATTTATCATATTAATGTTAATGTCAAAATTTGTTTAATGCGATTGTGTTAATGCGATGACATATTTTCGATATTTTTCTGGCATAATTTTGGTTTTCATTCCGTTGAAACTAAATCCATATTGTGGCAGTGTTAATGTGATGGTCCTAACCATGGAACAAGAAGAGTGTGTCGTGGTTGTATATCGGATGATAACTAACATACGCCTATTTCTGCTGTTATTTACACGTTTGTATTTTTCAATGAAACGTAGACGTACGCGCCCAACAACTCATTATAATAGGCATGCTAAGTATAGCTTAAAAGCTAGGGTTCCCTATCAAATTAAAAAAATGCGCATATTGATTGGAATAAGTGACAGCAAGTGCCATGACAATCTTAGAAAGAATATGGACACATTTGCCCGATTGTGTTACCTTTTTTGGAAACGGTTGGGGGTCTACGCGACCTACTAGAAATGTCCAGATCTCTGAACAAGTTGCCATTTTTTGCACTATATTGGGCCACCACAAGAAATTGGTTGTTCAACGAACCGATGTTAATAGGTTCAGTTACAGTTAACAAATACTTTAATACT